AAATCTGACAATTCAAGAGAACCTTGAGTTCTAGGCATGTTGTAGCATAAGATAATTAGTGTGCGGACCTTTTTCATTTATATAGTGCTTTGTGAACAGAAATTAGTTAGCATAAATCAGTTAAATGACAAAAAATTAGGTGTCTATTTACTTGTGACCACTCAGTGTACAGTAGCCTAAAAAATTTTGGGGTTAACATCGTTTTCATCTTTCATTTATAATTATATCATTTACCATTTTCTTTTACTTTTCAATCCAAACATTTATAACTTTTTTTTGTTGTTCTATTTATTTATATATTTGTTTTTTATTAATTAATTAAATGATGGGCAGTTTTAGAAATGCATTTGCTAGAAAAATAAAGGCAACATTGCACATGAAGTAAACTTAAACTCTGTGGTATCATGGTTCATTATGTCTTGTCTTCTACATGTTAGAAACTGTTGTGTTGATAGTGGTTGGAATTTTTGGGTGCCTGGATATCCACTTGAATTACCCATCCAGGTAGAATTTTTGGTACCCATTCAAATGCTATTAAATATAATAAAAAAAGTTACTAATCATACTATTAGCTGTGTCTAAAACAACTAATCCAATACAACTAATTTATAGGAAAGACAGCATGAAGTAATAAAGGATGCTGACAATATTTCTCACCCTTCATATAGATGTTAATTCTCCAGTGGTAAGTAAAACAACCAAGAGACTAAAAACATATAAAGCATCATGACCACAAAATGTTCCTCCCTGGGCTTTAAAGGAGGTCAAAGCTCAGATACACGAGTCTCTTTCATTTTTGATAGGTTAATAGAAAGAAAGTGGACAGGTACCTAAATATTGGAGACTATTTTTCAATGTATAATAAGAATTGCCACAGAGGTTACAGCTCATAGCTTTTTCTGTAGTTGGAAAAATACTAAAAACTCAGGCAAAAAAAAAAGGCTTTCAAAATTGTTTTATGAAATATGATGTCACACAACAAATAGAAATCTTGTGTTACTAGCCTATTAACTTTGAGGATCTTACTTATCTAGATGATAGAAATGGTGTGAGCTTGGTATACTTAGATTTTCAAAAAGGTTTTTGATAAGGTGCTACAAAGAAGATTAGCCAAGAATATCACACAGAATAGGTATGCCCTTTGCAGATACAGAAAGAAGTCAGCAGCTAAGGCATTTTCAATTACTGGTGCATCTTTAGACAGAACCAACTTGTACCATAGTTTTCTTCTTAAAGGGATCATTCTAGAAAAATACTGAACTGGGGGATTTCCTCTCTCATTTTTCATTTGCTGACTTCATTCTAGAAGGAGGGCCCGAGATAACTTCTGAGGCTGAGATAACAGCTCAGCTTCTTGCCTAGAAAATTGCATGATGACATAACCATGTGTGGCAGAAAAGGTTTGATAAAAATTATTCCCCCCTCCCATTACTGAGTTTACTGTTTGTTGGTCTCAAGCCATTATTTCAACCACATTAACTTTTTCTTAATACTACAATTAATAAATTATACAAACTTGTACATATTTAAGTAAAAGCTTAATTGCTTGGAATACTGCGTATATATTACTTACCCATTAATGTCTGTCGCCTCAGACTTCTGTGGAAGTTTGTCACATCGATTCACACATTCTTCTTCTGAATTCTCATGATTATCTGTCCCATTTAACTGAGCAGTATTAACACTGTTGCCATTATTTATATGAAGTGGCTGTTCAACAGTAGGGTTTTCTTTAGGAACTGCTGTAGGATCAACAAGATGATTTTCTTTGAAGACAGGAGGTTGTTCAAGTTGACTGAAAAAAAAACAATGAAAATATCATGTTGTGCTACAAGTTCATCCTATATTTAATCCAGCCCTTTTCATATCAACTACAAAAAAATGTATTCAGAAAAGTTTCAACATTTAATAATACATCCATACATTATATACAAAATTATTTTCTAAAGGAAGTCTTAAAATATGCCTTCTTTTTTTTCTCTCAAACAACAAAGTTCATGCATGAGGATGAAAAACTCTGTAATCAATATTAGAGAGAGAACACATTCTTGCCTGGCTTGAATTTAAATAAAATGTTACCTTGCAACCTCTAGCATTTATTCTATACATGTAAATATTGTATACCTTAGTCAGCATAATATCTTAAGACTGAGATTCACATTCATTAATATTTATGTACTGTATATAACCACAAGTCTTCTAACAGTTATGAAAAAGTGCAGAATATGCAATGTAAAACTTGTAGCATTACAGTCTGTTGAGAGTGCTGAACACATTTTCAGAGACTACTTGTCTTGATTTGTGTAATAAGTGTTATATTTTACAAGGAGAAAATTAAAAAAAAAGAAAAAACATTACATATTTTAAAATGAATAAAATAAAGTATACTGAAACATGTATTGAGAGACCATCCCTTCTGTCAAAGATTGTAGGTCTTGCAAGACAAATAGATTCTCATAATAACTATTTGATTTAATCAGTTTCAAATTTATTTCAACTATTTAAGCATTTAATTTATTTCAAAGGGAATTTTATATTTTGCCTCGTGTACTGAAGAGTTAAAAGGGTAATGCATAATACACTCCATTTAGTGTAATAACATAAAAGTATACATGATGATAGGCCTGAAAAAGACTATGATTGGATGTTAAACACTAAACAAATCATTTCTGACAAGGAAATCATATTGGGTTCATCATGTTCACTGCATCAGGTTTTGTTATTTATATTTTCCAAGAATTGAATAACGTGGCTATCAGTATTTATATGAATATTAATGAACCTAACTTTCAGCTTTAAAAACATTATATCAACCTTACACTGTGCTGTCAAGCAATCTATGGTAAAACTACTGAAAAAATGTTAAGTCACGTGAATCATCAATAAATATTATACTGGGCTTGTAGCATATACGTAGGGGCAAACAAATTTTTCCTCATCAGTTCTGATGGTTAGTGGATGGAAAAGTTAATTTCAAACCACATCACTGGGAAAACTTAGGGCTACAAAATAAAATAATCAGATTAGGTTTTAAAGTATTTTAAGAATATAGAATATTCCACAAGACCAGAGTAGAAAACAAAAACACAAATAATTTTATCAAAATTAAAAATTTTATTACACTTTGTCAAAAGTACTTGTCTGAATGATGAATAGCCGAACTAAGGAAAAGAAAAATGAATCTAATCTGTCAAGTACATGTATAATAACTCCAATTCTTATAACCATGATACAAGCAACTGTTTCATCTATGCAAATGTCAATTATTTTTAACAATCACTTGATCACAAACAAATATACATACTTGATATTTCTATCAATCTCAGAAGTCTACGAGACTACCAAGACCACATTTAAGGGGCATTTTAACTGACCTTAAGAGCCCTCTCTAACCTCAAATATATCCCACACATTTTGTTCATTTACAATTCAAGATATGACAGCCTTGTGCTTATTTTAGAATTAATAAAGTTAATGCACTATGTATTGTTAACAATATTTAGAAAAAAAGATGAGCATCATACATTATTTCATATTGCCTCATTAATCTTTGACATTTGCTTCTAACCAGGATTAATTTTATAAATGTACATGTATAATATAAGACAATTAAAATTTAGAATAAGTATTGTCAATCCACATCAGTTCTATAAACAATATCTTAGGTCAGCATCAAAATAATTTTTTTCTATATTATTGAATAGAATACTATAGCGATAGTATATATATAAAAAAAAAAGCTTGAAATATGCACATCCTCACGATTACATAAAAAAATCTTTGAGCTACACTTAATATACTGTTTTAGTATTATTTAAATAGAATTGGTTTTAAATTTGCTAATGGATAATATAAAAGTTTTTATTTTTTAAATAAAAAAAATTTTGCTTACTTAATGACATGCACTTATTCCCATTTAAAACACAAGTTTGTCAGTAAACAATGAAACATCTTACGAGAAATATACAACTTATTTTATTTTGCAGTAAATTTTGTAAATAGTGTAAACAATCACTACACATGACATACAAGCATTTCCCAAAGTTACAATCTATGTATGATACTACCTTGATCTTCAGTTATTATGCTCTTTCCTTAGTCAGATATTGCTATTAACATCCATTTTACCACTAAGTTATCATAAAACTACGATACTGAACCAAGTAAACTTACTTAAAAACTAAGATTTTAAAACAAATATGAAAAACAATTTTTTTAATTAGTTCATGATTGCAGGTCATGTATGTTGATCATGCGAGTTTGTAAATAAATACAACCTGTAATTGTAGTAGCATCAACACACAGAGAAAGAACAATGCTATAGAATTAAATATTTTAATTATAAAGCATCCTTTAAAGAAATCATATTAACCCAAAAATTTGTGTGCATAATGAGAAGTATACTAAAACCTCCTACACTTTTTCTACATATTCATTGGTCAGAATTATTTTTAATAAGTACAAAGGTTAAAGAACTTATAAACTTGTATGGTTTAGGAATTAAACAGATGTTTTAAAGACTTTATAGTGTAACAGAAGTTATGTTACAATACAAGTGTACACAAGCCTTGATTTGACAAAAACCAAAAATAAAAAGGCACTAAGAGAATCCAACCCCCCCCCCTCAATACCTCAGTGTTGTGTTTTTTACTTTTCCAATAATCAATCTAAAATATATACCAAACAATTCCTCACATTCAAAAACATAAGTCTAGGTGCTAAAATTCTCTTTCTATCTCAATCTATTCTCAAGTTTTGATCATTTTTAAAATCCTAATTTGCTATAATTATAATGAAAGCATTTGACCTTGATCTTTGGGCTACATTAATCACAATTTAATCCTGGGGTGACACTCAACCTTTGTTTGAAATTTGATCAAGATCAGAAGAATTTCTTTTGTTTAAGCATATGATGTTCAGTGTAACCTTTGACGTATATATTCACCAAAAGTTAATCTACTGGTCCTTTGGTCCTCGAGGGATACTCAATATGTATACCAAATTTGATCAAAATCCAATTATAATCATACACACCAACACTTAACATGAGTGAAAACAATGCAGCTGCCATCAGATGAAGGTAAAGAAAGTTTAGCAAGGCTAAACATAATAAAAAGTTATATAATAAAAAAAATATCAGACCTTGATCATGACCTAGAGGAATAGTTGTATAAAAAGACAAATATAGTTAAAACTGCATAGGCAATGAAAATATCAAAATTAAATAAAAAGTTGAACAATCACCAAGTTTTTATATATTTTTATTTAAAGAAGGATGATGTTCTGAGCTTGCACTCTTCATCAGATCATACACCTTACAAGAAAGGCACATACGAAGAATTCAAAGAACTTGCATGCATAGTGTTTGGAATGTTGAGTGTGAAAATTCTAAGCAAAATTATATCTATTACATAAAAATTACAAGTCGTGAAAAGCTATGTAGATAACAATTAAAATTTAAATATTAATTGCTATCTTGTTTATATTTTAACTGCTATCTACTTATCTTTTCATGACGTGTACTTTTTATATAATATATGCAATTTTGCTTAGAATTTTCAGGCTCAACACTACAAATACTATTCATGCAGGTTCTTTGAATTTTACACATGCACCTATGTTGTAAACTGTATGATCTGACAAAGAGCACTAGCTTAAAAAGTCACCCTTCTTCAAATAAAAATATATAAAAACTTGGCAATTGTTCAACCTATTATTTAATCTAGAGGAATAGTTGAACAACTTAATATTATATTTTATTAAAAGCACCCTTATCTATGTTTTACAAACATAGATTGAATGTCTTTTTGTGTTTAAAATAAGGAGGTGACTGCATTCTCCAATGGATAACTTTAACTTAAATCAAAACTCCAAACAACTAGAGGATTTAGTCATAACACACCAAATTGGTAACAAAAGGGGAAAAAATGTGAAAAATATAGAATTCTGTCCATCAGCCCTAACCATAACCTCCTCAGATGAAAAAAAAAAAAGACAACTCATACTACACAATAGTCCTAAAAACCCATACTTTAAATCTGCATGCATGCACATATAAAAACATGTGAAACAGATTTACTTACTTTAAGTCTACAAAAACTCCTCCATTTATTCCCTGTGCTCTCTGTTGGTGTTTTGGACTATGATCTGGTTTGAAATAATCACTCTTCAACATTATTGGAGACTGCCGAGCAGACTGTTGGGGTGTGATTGTTAATTTGGTGCGGTAGGCTACAGTAAGGGCTATTGTACCTACTGGAGTACTCACTTGACCAATCCTTGCTTCTTGGTATCCTTCACCAAGTTGATTGTTCTAATAAAGCATAATGAATGTCTGAGAAATAGGTGGGAAACAAAAACTGAAATAGGTCCTACATACACCTATATTTTTATTAATTAATTAATTACAGTATTAAAACTTGAAGCCTTTTGTACACTTGAATAATCATTATGTATGTCAATCAATACTCTGACTAACTAATTACATTGTACACTATCAATTTTGGGGTATTACAAAAACCTGTAAACTGATGTTCAACTGTACAGAAGCTGCATATATTTTTTGTATTAGAATTTTCAATTTGTTGAAATAACGAAAGCTATAAATTTACTATACTAAAAATGTATTTCCGATAGTTACCTCCTCTTTCATAAATAGCTATTCTCTTTCAGTGCTGCCCTTTATATATAAATTTTTATGCATGTCACAAGCCTTTAATCTCCCACTCAATTGGAATTGACTAATTCCAATGAGTCTCTCATGCAAATCATGAAACAACCCTCCACCAATAAGAGTGCGACATACTTTCTTGGTGCATCTGACTCCCTGTACTTAATTCTACTGAACTATCACTTTGAGTTTTGGCAGTAAATGGAATCACCGGTTTTCAGTGGGGAGGAAGGGTGGGAAGTGTGATAAGAGGAAAGTACGTATTGGAAATACATTTTCAGTATAGGAAAATTATAACTTCTGATATGGTACATTACCTCCACTCACTTAAATAGCTGGAATCCTATGTTAAATAGGTGGATGGACCGGTGCAAGGGAATGAAAAGCATTCCTCGAATGTGTCCAAAGGATACTCCCCCATGAGGAGATCTTCAGAATCGAAGATCTCATGTGGGAGACCACACCACTTCTGAACCAGATATACTCTTTGCCTGTTTTTGGAAAATTGTCTCACATATGGGCAGAAAAACAAAGGAGCACAACCAAGTGGGATAGAACTATGGCAGGATAGGGATCCAAACCATACAATATTTATGAAACTCAGTCCCAGAAAATATAAAAGTGGGTAAGAATAAAAACATTTCCCCGAGGTGTGAAGTGGCTAGGGCAAGATGGACCATACATGACAAAACAACTACATCTAAACCCCATGTTGCTGGGAACTGACATCCACATGGAGATAGGATGAGGATCATACTGTTGATAAGTCAACTACAATCCAAAACCTTGCCACCGGGTACCAACATCCATATAGAAGTAGGAAAGAGGATCATACCACTGGCAAGTCAACTACAATCCAAAACCCAAACCAACAGGAACCGTGTGTGGGAAAGAGGATCACTGTTTTCACCTCAAGTTCATGAGACCGAAGGGAATCTATCACCCCCTCCCCCAATCCAAGAATGGGGCACATGAAAATATGGAAAACTGGTAGTTCAATCTGGGAACCTGACATCCAGCACCAAAAAGATGTCTGCTTAACGTAAACCATCTCCCTCAAACTTAAAATTTACAGGAACTGCCCCAAGCACAGTAAGATCCTTGGAATAATAAGCACCAAGGGATAGCGGAATAACCATAATAATCTGCAAGTACCTCCACCGTGAACAACAACACTGATAGAGTAACAAGAATATAAAAAAGGGAAGTAATATAGACATCTGTAATACATGTGTGAGCACTTGTGTTGATTAGTTCAACTCTAAATTGAAAACCCAGACACTGGGTACCAACATCCACATGGGGTAGGACGAGGATGGTAGGAAGAGAGGTGGAGAGTCGAAAGAAACGACAACACCCGAGACAGTGCAATGGGTGACCATGAAACCCTATTTTGAAAAGCAGATCATACTAATTTATTCAGTACAAGGGATGGACAGTTATCCCCTTCTGCTTTATCCATGTAGTCCATGGGTGAGTATAGTCCAGGACAGGTAAACTTGTGAAACAAATCTATTGTGAGGATAAACCTAAAAGCAATCTTGTGGAACACCCCATCTCTGCAGTGTGCCTTGCGTGACCATGGAATGATAATATACAAGTCAACATTGCTTACAGTGTGGATTTGAACAGTTAAAGAACAGTTGGTCAGGTGCCACAGAGCAGGATCGAGAAAGAAAGAGGGACATGCCTATGAAAAAGACGAGGTACACACACTTACATAGACTAAAATGTAACTTACACAATCACAGTCTCATAAGAGTGTGAAGAATGGATGATGATACCCCCAACAAGGAAGAAACAGCTACCCAAAGCAGAGAATGGGAAATGAACATATAAGATGTAGACCTAGTGCTCGGCCTATAAAATACCTCCAATGGATGGCAGGGTAGACATGCAGAAAAAAAGTAAGATGCATGATCACAGTGAAGACACCAGGAAGTGATGATGGGAAGAAGGACACAAGAAATAAAAGGCCAATCAAATCACAATCCAAACCTAATGGGTAAAGATGGGAGGGAAAAAGAAATCACAGACAAAAAAGTGGAGTAAGGGGAAGAAATGTGGGAAATGGATTTAACAGAAAGAAGCACTAAAAACAATAAAGCAATCCACAACATGTATTGGACAGAGAAGGTCATCTGAATCCCTCTGAGAAGAAATGTGGAAGATGGTAAAAAAATGAAAAAGTCGAAAGAAATATACCACACGAGCCACTAAAATGTAGGTTAATAAAATCAATCCAGAACAAAAGAAATGAGCCGAAACAGCCGAGAAAACCAAAGCAGTGCTGGCCAGGAAAGACCTGAAATGGGGTGGCATAGGTGCACAAAATTTTGGGGGAGAATACTAATGGAATAGAAAAAACTAATGTAAACCTGTCTGAACTCAACAGCCAGGACAAGTGGATCGTGAACCAGAGACCAGTGTGTGGGTTAAATAAATAAAATTTAAAAAAAAAAAAAAAAGAAGAGAAGAAGAAGAGAAAGAGGAGGATATCTACTGTTTACTTCAAAGAAAACAAGAAAGAGTGTCCCCTTGGCAAGCAATATAAGCCACCACTGCCAAAAAATCAAAATCAAACAGGATCAGACAAACCATACAAGAAGAGTGTGAACTACAGCACCTTGGACTGGCAGAAGGGTCTGGGTGTGAAAGTGATAAGACCTTTTGACTGGAGACCATAATCCTGAAGCCTACTACTGATAGAACCACCCCCTCCCCCATCTTAGGAGATGAGCATCAGAGAAGAGAAACAATCCAGAAGATGGGTAGGAAATGGTAATCCTGACATCATGAGGGATATGTTGAACTATCAATGCATAAAGATGAAGAGGGAAGGATGTAAATTTAGAGAAAAACCCAAAGTAAAGGCTCAGATAACAGAAAACACTTTCTAATGTATTTGAGGAGAAGAATGGATGGTCCTGATGAAGGGGTGTTTAAAAATACACACCACAAAGAGATTAGAATTCAAGGTATGTAACACGAAAAAGATATCCAGCCAACTATGGAAGTAGTAGAAGAGTATGATAAGACCATCCCCATTTGAAAGGAACACTGAAGCTAGACATGCAATGAATGTTGTTGGTAGAATCCCCCAAATGTGGAAATTGGTTAAAACGCAGACTGCTCCACAAAAGACATATGGAACCAAAACAAGTCCAAAGGTCAAGGTGCTAAAGTAGTATCTAATCACATGGTGAAAAAAAATATTGAAGATAAGAACATGTACCGTGGGCATTCTCAATCCACCCAAATGTGAACAAAGAAAACATTTTAAAACAGGGAAGGCCCAATCAAACCAGAACTCCAAACAGCATTGAGCAAACAAGTCAAATGAAGAAAACCCATCATTAAGACATGTAAAGGATGAGCAGGTGCAGAACATACAAGATGAATAAAGATGATAATGTCTCAGAATGAAACAAAAGAACAACTAAAAAAACTGAATATAGCATTGCATGATGCTTAATGTATAGGAGTAGCCCAAACAAATGGATCAGAAGAGAAAAAGAACTGATCGTAAGACCCTATTAGCATATAAGTGAAATATAAGTAGAACACCGAAAAGAGGAAATGGAAGATAAACATGAACTGTAGGAGTGTCGATAGGGTAAAAATTAAACTAGAAAAAAAAAAAAATCAGCAAGAAAATCTGCCAAATGGTAAGCTAAGACAAAGAATTAAAGCCTATATAGGGTGAGGCTTGCAAGTACCCACTCTTAAAAGAAAAAGATTATAAAACAATAGTCATGAGAAGAGAAAAATTACTGTGAAACGTGTAAAAAACAAACAAAAAACAACACACACACACACACACACACAACTGAGGTCGGCCTATAGCAGATTCTGCAGTAAAGACCTAGAAGGCAATCTATGAGAAGATGGAGGAAAACTGACAAAATCTAGATCGTCTGAAAAATGGGTTCAGCCATTATAGGAGGAAGGCAAGCAATATTTGGAGCAGGTACGGCGGATCCCAGCCCCCACGGGCCCTCACAAACAAAATCAATAGTAAGAAGTATAAATTATAAAGAAAGACAAAAATGAAGTAGTTGATATAGTGTAGTGAAGTAAACATATGTATACGATGTTGTGTTGAAAAAAAATGATATTCAACCTAATTATCGATTAACCCATAAATAGAACCATGAGCAAGCTGAAAATAAATGACACTTATTAAGCCTAATCGAACAAGATATTTAACCAAATTATCGATTAACCCAAAAGTAGACCTACAGGTAAACCGAAAATAAACACTGGTGAAGCCTAATTGAACAATACAAAACAAAGGATATTACTAAGCACTAAAATAAAAACTTAAAAGAACAATAAGTAGGTACAATATTGGGAGAAGTTTGTGTGGACCCCAGCTCAAGGGTTCCACCGAAACCAAGTGAATAGAAAGAAGGATAAGAGAAAAATAATAATGAAGATTAAATAAATGTGAATGTATAAAATTAACTTTCTCAACGCTGGCTTGGTCAATTTGGCCGACCACGTGACCTCTATGCACTTGTTTAAAGTCTATATATATTTAATACTTCTAACTTCCAATATAGTGTGTATGTCTTCACAAAATTTGGCAGTCTTTCAGCTAATATTACAAGTCCTTCACGTACAAAAAATATTTTTAGTGAAGTATTTTTGATAAAATAAAAATTTGTCTACAAATATATTAAGCATTTGTTCTAAATAGTCCATGTGCAAAGTAATTTTCATATTAAACTTAAAAATACTTTTCCTTTGTGTAATCCTAATGCCTCCGAAATACATTTCAAATTTTTTTTTTCACTAAAACTGTATAGTTTCCTTTATCTACCCTATCTGAAAACGGGATCGGTCAATTCAACTGACCTTGTAACCACACACACACACAGAAATTTAAATTACCCTTTTTTTTTCTTTCTAGAATGACTTCAAGTTGTAACATGAAGCTACATTCATTTATCTTAAGTAGCTCTAAGTTTGTAACAGTATACATCTATTTATGATTACATTTTCTTTTATTGCCCTTTGAACCATATCTAACTTCTATCTGCACCATTATAAGTTTTAAATCGTTCTGGGAACATACAGCTTACATTACTCTAATGAATTACAATACCCACGAGCAACTTGCATCTGTGCCAAGTGAAACATTTCTATTATATTATTATTATTACTATTATTCATTTTACCTAATTCTTCTGAACTAACCCAAAATGATCCCTATTTTTACATTTTAGTTACTTTTATAAGTATACATAAAGAATAAACAATCTTCTTTTTTTCTTGATGTTGATTGTCAACGAGAGTTAACCCTAATTTTTGTTTTTACTAATCGTAATAATCCATTTAATTTTTACTCAATTAAATGATGCACCAAAAAATACAGACTAATAACATGCAAAAAGTAGACAAATTCCCTTACCTCTCAATTTTTCTGGCTTTCTAACAATGCGACAAAAGCCATTACAAATTCATCCAAGTTAGTTTTTAACTTTCTCTTGGGAATGATGTTGGTACTCTGAGTGAAATTGACATTTAACTGTTCAAAACATAACATTATACAATACGTAATTTGATAGATGAAAACCTTGACTTTCTATTGATTATAAGTAATATATAATTAAACGTAAGAGAAATATCAACAAATTCTGAAAGAGAGGATATGACAGGTGGGTGTGGCAGGAAGGGTCTGATTTTCTTTGTAACCAAAGAAAATTGAAGACTATAAAAATTATGGTTTGTTTGAGTAATGATGATTTTATAGAGAGTAATTTACATTTAATTTTGTATTTTTTTGAGGGGTGATGGATAAAATAGGGATGATGAGATGCTAAGACAAAATGTGTCACATGGGTCACCCTCGAGGAAATTTAGGATTTTTTAAATATTGCCCTACAGAATTAAGAACTTAAAACTTGTATATTATTAAAATATGGATTATGAGCTAAGATTTTAAGCTATTCTAATTGGTATAACGAAAAAAAGTAGTTTAATAAAATTCTGAATGTAAGACACTAAAACCTTGTGTGATGCACAGTAAAGGATACCTGTGGTGATAGGGCTAAAGAAGTGTGTAGTAACAATAACATATGTATAAGGCTTGATGTATGAAAGAAAAAACAAATATTTAGACAAATGATTGATATACCAGTAAGACGAATTACAGGTAATCCTAAGCAACTAGTATCGGAGAAAAGCTACAAATATGACTACTTGCTAACCTGAATTTGGCTACGAGTATTAACCAATCTAACAAAACTTATGTTATGGAACCCAAATAACTAGAGATAATAATATTAACAATAAAATTATTTAAAAACCATAACATTAGAACATCTCATCTTTCCAAAGTCGGCAGGTTGTATTTCAAATATGTGGGCCCCCAATCTCAAATTGAGGCCCGACAAAAGTCAGTTCATTGGATGATCAATCTCCTGATGAAGTAAAGCCAAGAATCTTCTCTGAAGCCTGTGTAAACATCCTAATAGAACACAGAACCTCCAAAGTGGTAACGTAGGATTCATAATGCAACATGAATAACCAAACACAACTATGTTGGCAGAAACAAATAAAAAGTTCTATAACCGGGTAAAAATATAAAATAATTCCACTTTGGAATAACTCAAGTTACAAATATCACAACTGTATAATAAAGAATAAACTAACAAACCCAACAACAGGACATTACACTGCAGTTTACCTTTGTCCCTGAAATCAGCTCAAGAATTATCCACACTTGGACGAATCTAGCCATTAAACACAATATTCCTGTCAACGTCAAATTCTCTCAAAAGCCTGGCCCTAAATTAAAATCGTTACTAAACAAGAATTATTTAGAATCACACAATACCAATGTCATTTACAAAATAACATGCAATAACTGCCCAGAATTCTACATCGGAGAAACAGGAAGAACATTGGAAACCAGATTCACAGGACACAATAAAAAACCATCCCATGTTTTCCACCATTGCATCTCAAAAAACCATAGTATATCTATTAAAAACACAGTAATTCTAAACAAAGAACCAAACATAAAAATAAAGGAATCCATCTTAGTTCAACAAAACAGCCCTACTCTAAACCAATACTCTGGGGTGCCAAGAAAATATCTTCTAAGTCGTGAAACAGTATCTGGTCACGTGACCTCTTTGTTCCATACTGTGTACATCTGTGTCATTGTAAGCTAATTGTACTTGATGATCACAAAACCTTGTTGAAATGTTGTACATTTGCTGTTATGTTAAACTTATATTAAAGTTTTTCTTCATTACCCTTTCAAGTCATCTCCAAGCATTATTAATCTCAAAGTGAGTTCCTCATCATTAAATTAGTAAAAGAATAAACTTGTTTAGAGAAATTAATACAAAGATATGGAAAAATATTAAAACAAAACACTTGAAGAGAGCACAAATTAAATGTTATAACACAAGTACTGCCAAACGAGAAGTGATAGTTTGGTAGAATTTAATAGAGGGAGTCACAAGCATCAAAAGAGTAGGTCGCACTCTAATTGGTGGAAGGTTGTTACATGACGATTTCCATGAGAGCTGCATTGGAATCAGTCAATTCCAACTGAGTGGGAGATTATAGGCTTGTGACATGCGTAATTTTGTTTTTGCATATAGAGGGCAGCACTGCACTAGAATAGCTATTTATGCGAGAGGAGGTAACTATCAGAAATACAATTTCAGTATGGGAAAATTATAACTAAATTATAATGTGTAAAAAATTTTTTATGGCATAAATATGTACATTTTAACCCAGTACTAATCAGTGACTTGATAGAAATGCTTCCTAATGTAGTTTGTTTTCATAATTCTCAAAGTAAGAACAATTACTACTAAAAGTTAATGAATATAAAAAGTTACATTATAAAAACATCTTTGTCAAATTTCCAATTAAATTTTAACAGTTTTCTAGGAGACATTGTAAGGGCTTATAGTAAATATTGATATATATTTCCCCCTACAGTTGTTGAGACTTACAGACTGACATTTCTTGTATGTGACATCATAAATGTAGTTGTCATAAGCAGCGATAATAAAAAAAATAAAAAAAAAGAACTCCTTCGAGTTGTTTCCAGTTCTTCTAAATTTCCTTTTAAAATTGTTGGTTCATCCATACAGGCATTAGATCTAATTATTTTCCATTAAAACCATAAGTTAGTGCTCATTTCACTTTATTCAGCCTAGTTTTATACAAATAGTTTATAATCTGCTCTACTCAACATATTTAAACTTTTCCTGTCACTATTTTCAAAGTAGTGTTTCATTCAGACCACATACAACATAATAAAAGGATGGGAACTAAGGGCTGTAATAATAAAACCTCAGAGAAGGGAAATCACAAAGTTTAATTATAATCTGGAAGTACATTATATGATAGTATCTTAGCAACTTAAAACCTATGCTTTGTGCTGGACAGAATAATTCTATATAAAAACAACAAACAAACAAATAAGAACATCTTGCAAGTTCATTGTTTACAGACCAGACATCTTGGAGATCTGCATAAATGTAAGTTTTTATTTTCATTCTTCTTTGTAAATTATGCTAAACAAATGTTACAAAATGACAGTAAATTAATTATTAAATATTTTTGAGATAAAAATGATGAAACAGTGTCAATTACTAAGGTGAATTAATATTTGAAATTTGATATGCAGGTATGCAACAGACATTTAAAAAGTCATAATAAGGTTAATGTGGAATCCTACATATACCTGAATATCTCCCATGTATACTCTGTAACAAATGACGAACGAGTCTGGACCTTGACGGGATGACAGTTTGTATGCTGGTGTAACACGAGATACAGCTATGAGTGATTTCAAAAGGAGACTCATTCGGCTATATACAGTAGGTATAACCCGGGCCATTGGATCACATTTTTCAGTCATTCCTAAACTCCAAGTTTCTAACACTAATGTGTCACCATCTACAGTCTTTAAAGATATTTCTGTGCACATGTTTGTACCAAACATGGGAAGTTGGTTTGCTAGAGCCTTTTTTGCTTCTGCTTGAACTTCAGGTAGGTCTTTTATAGCAACATTAAACTGAAAATCAAAATATTTTTTTTTATTCCAAAAAGTTTTGTCTATAGCAGCACATGAAATTTAACAAGAAATATCTCAAAATTTTAAATTATCATAAATCACCCTTATACAGCAGTTACCACAATAACTATAAATACCTAGTTTTCTCAACTATTACAACTTTAAGTTTAAACCTTGATTTCTACAAGTACATTTAGAAAAAAATTATGTCAGTTAAACAAGATATTTATACAAAGTATGCTGGAGATAATAGATAACTTCAGAATTATTGATAAATCCTTTATCACGTGTAAAATGCATGACAATAGCAACACATTTCTAGAAAGGTATTCAGAGAGTGAAAAACTTGCCCTGCAATGTTTTGTGACTTTTGTAGAAAGTAATCTGTAATATATTCCAAAGAATTACTCATCCTCAAAAATGTAAGTCAAGTTCCAAAATCCTCTATCTCTATTTATTCTCTAGCATTGTTTCTCAAAATCCCCATTTGCTACCATTATAACAAAAGCTAACTTTCAGTATGACCTTGACCTTTGAGTTGCATTCAACAAAAGATAACCAACTGGTCGTTGGGAGACACTCAACCTTTATACCAAATTTGATCAAAATATCTTGAAAAATTTTAAGTTATTCTATTCACAAACTGATAGTGACACACACACACACACAAGTAATACCGCTGCTGCTGGGTGAGTAAAAATATTCATAACAAACAATTTTATCAACTGTTGTAAAAAAACTAATATACTGCAGACTTTCATGCACACATTACTTTGAAATAAAAATATGTTTCCTAAAAAGTTTATAGTCATGTTGCATATTTTGATTACTAAATTTACTTGTAAAATAGTAATCTGCAGAATGTTGAATCTATCTTACTACATTACACTAACAATATTTAAACACGCATCCAGGAAAGAAAAAAACTCCTTTTGTATAATAATAAAAGTTTCATAACATGCTTTGTCAAGTTAAACAAGTGTTATTGCAAGGATTAAAGCAATGAATAAATGTACCACATACATTCAATACATATAAAAATGTAAACAATTATTTTTAATGTTGAATAATAAACTGACAAACATTGACTTACAAGTATGATGAAAATTATTTTATGCATGTATATATTTATATATATATATATAATGTTTTTAACAATATTGGACTGTCATCTGAAGAACACAGACCAAACTTCTGTTGAAGTATTAAGTATCTTCTATACCTAAAATAATTTCCTTTACGCTTATAAATAATTGTTTGTCAATTTAATGTTGTATCACTAATATTCCTACATACAAAAGCATTTAGTGATGAAAGTAAAGAGATCCCCAACCTCAAGAACTTAATTAACATGTTCAATGCCATGTCAGCCACATGTGGCTCAGTACTGTTCAAACTGCACTGGCCACCAATGACTGACAAGTGAGAGTTCAAGCCACATTGGTTGTTTGTGGCCAACACTTATAAGATTACAAATATAATTTGCTGAAAATTAATTGCTATTACAGATATTGAACAAAAAATATGAGTTTGACAAACTTAGTTTTGTCAAAAATAGTTATTGCAAGTTTTTATGCTGTTTATCAAAGGCATAAAAGCATCTATGTGGATTGTTCTAGCAATTTGGGCAATATGTTAGCACTCTTTTTTATTTTCTTTTATGCTTCTGCTCTTCCCATTTCTTTTTTTTAAAGACTGGAACACATTCATTAGATGTTACTGCATCCATTTCACTAAAGAAATCCCTTTGGCTTGAGTGAAAGTTTAAGGCATTGGCAAGGAACTTTTTTAACTTCTATTTCTGTTAAAGAACAATTAAGTTGGAAAAGCTTGAACTTTCCAGAGAATAAAGCTGTTGGCTCTGATACATGCTGTTCAAAATAAGTTGTAGGAGTTTGTGATCCAGAAGCTGATAAACCCCAGGACTGAACCTAGGGTTGAAGGCCTTGATGCATAAATCATTAACTATGTAATATTTTCCCAAGTATGAAATTCCATTCATATTGCTTGAAAAAAAAGAAAAAGAAGGTATGTTTCCATGATAATTTTTGTTATCATTTATTTTTCAATTTTCACGTTAAAATTAGCCTCAGATGCAAATTTGTCTATTTCGTCAACTCCTTGCAGCAGGATGACCTAGCAATTAATTTGTAGAATAAGAGAGGGAGAGAAAAAAATCACATTAAAGACTACTTTGAGTATTTCTTGAATATTTTTTTCCATTAATTTAAATAAAAAACAAAATATTAAAATAAAGTTGAATGTAAATGCCACCTGACAAAAAGTAGAACCATACCTTTGTCCTGTACTAAACTAATAACATCTGCCACTTCATTATGGGAATTCCCATATCTCACTACTGTATCAAAAATCTCTAAATTCTGCATCTTATGAAGATTGGCAGTGAGCAACTCTAGATCTTTACAATTATCTAAAAATAACTAGCCAACATGCTCAGTTACAAATACAAGATAAGCATTGACAGTAACATTCACTAACTTACAGTATCTGACAAGAAACTTAAATCCCATGTACATATCCAAACACGAGGCATCTAAATTGATTTTAAGTCCACTTAAAACAGCCTGTCAAAACAATAAAGGTAACTGTCCTAATCAGAAAAATTTACATTTATCCTACTGCAATTATTGATGATGCCAGATACAGACTTCATTATACACCAAGTTGTTTAGCTTCGTAGAGAATTTCCTGATGATTGGATAATTGGTTAAGAGGTAATTGTAAATATTCTTTTGTAAGAAGTGTCTTCAAAAGGTACATGAATAATTTTGGGAGTTTGAAAATTAAGGAATAATTTTGGGTCATGGAGAGGAAAAAAAGGAGGAAATTGCAAAAACTTGGAATGAAAAGCAGAAGAAAAGAAAAAGCAAGGAAGGGAAGAAGAGGAAATTAACTGTATACTAGCTACTGGGTTTTGTTGTTGAAGCTATAGCACTAAGTACAAGAAAATATGAATCTAATGAGATTAAAAAAAAAAAAGGAAACAGACTACTGATGATAAATTAATTTGAATCTTTTGCAGCAAGCTTATTTTTGAACAAGAAAATAAAATTAGCTTAAATGCTGAAATTGTATAGTGCAATACATGTAAAAAAAATTGGGTTTTAGTTTTATGAAATAAAAAACTATGGCAAGAGAGTGCAGTGGCTGATTGGGTAAGAGTGAGAGGGGGTCATGTCCCCTCTCGGAAGATGTAGTTTTTAAAAGAAAATAGCACATGTTAGAACCTATTTCCTGAGACATCAGAAGTAAGTTACTCACTGAATTTAAGTCTTGAACAGTACTTAACAAGTACATAAGGATTTTTTTTACAAATCAAGAAGGAAAAAAACAAACTCTTACTTAGATTAAATTATTATTTCGTTTACCGCAATGAACATTTTTTTTTCTATTATTATGTTTGTTAACAAAAATACAAATAAACTGACAAAAATGGAAGAACATTGATGTCAAACAAATATGCATCCTCATTCACCCCAATTTTTGTGTGTGTGTGTGAAATCTAGGTCTTTTAGTCTCAAACTATGTGTTATGGTTTTTCTTTTATGTATTGCATTATGATATTTTGTCAAATATCTGTACATGAAGGAGAAAAATTGATATTTTCATATTCAGCATACAGGAATTACTGTAGAACATGTAAACATTAGGACAATAAAACCAATGCAAGCCTGTGTTACTGAAGTTATTGTTTTACAAACTTCATCTTACAAGCTTCACAAATGTTCATCTATACAATTTTTTCCAGCCGATCCCATCTGAACTTATTCATCATAGAAGAATCAATGTCCTTTACACAATGGGTATATTTATTCTGCTCAATGATATGACCAAACCAGAGACTTGTGATCTAAACCTTTCCTGCACAAGTTTCATGATGTAAATAAAATCTCATAAAAACATTGGCAAAGCATGATATACAGGGATTGGTCATAACTGATACAAATGACCAATCAGATAACATCTTGCAAAACTGTCACGTCAAAACTTCCAATTTTAAAACATCCACAATTATCGCCATACATATCACACAACTATGAGAAACCTTGACCTTTCATGAACCTGACTGCTTCTCTATTGCTTTATATGTTAAGCCTAACTTCCCTTTTACTTGTAGAATAGCCTCTTCAAATGTTGCCATCTCATATGCTAAAAAACAGAAATGTTCTTTGTTTTCAATTTACAATAAACTTCATTCCTTATTCCCATATGTTTTTTGTGCATGTTCACTAGTGCAATACTGGTAAAGGTTGTTTTCCAGTAATATTTTATAAGGTCTGGTATGCAAGAACTGTGTGTCAAATACTTTAATATTTAACATTGAGGCTCAAGTGTTTCACTTTCAGATCTTATTTCACTCTATAAACTTGGCCAACTTGGGTGCACAAGTTTATATTTGTGTTAGGGATATATTTTGTCAAATTCATTTCAATATTTCTTGATTATTAAAGGAAATTATCTTTGCAATGGGCTGTCACATAAACCTGAATAAAGCATATGTAGGGCTGATATACTTATCAGACCTGCTACCAAAGCTAGCTTGTACCAATGTAATAATCTCCATTTAATTGAGTATATTTTGTAGATTGTGAGCATATTCTTTGTTTTTTTTAATGATTTGATAAACATTTGTTTTATTAAAAACCTTAGTAGTAAAGTTTCAATTGTTCTTGACCAGAATAAAGGATTCAGTACAGATTGACCAATCATTGGATATTATTATGATTAATAAAATTTAAGAATGAACATCAGCTTACACAATAACATACCTCACTTAATATAACTCTCATTTTAACCAAATTTTCAAATTTCAAAAATACTTACCCACTCTGCTCCACATGAATAAGGTTTTGATCTGGTCTTAATTCTTTCTCCAAGTCTTGACTGAACTATGACTTGCGCAGCTTTAATTGCAAGGAATTTCATAAATTTTTCCAAATCACGACGATCTTGAGATGAGAGTTTAACTTTTACAGACATCATTGTAGAGGCAAATTTTCCACTTCTGTTAACACTAACAGTGAAGTATGAGAATTAAATTCTATAAGCTATAACAGTATAAGGTCCTAAACATTAACCGGAGAAGTCATATGTAATGATGGAAACGTATTTATTTTGTATTCCACCAAATTTAGATATATTAAGTTGACTTATAGTGCACTGCTTTATTTGTTCAAATGCAGGGCCAGAAGTCCAAGAACAATGAACTACACAATACCAACACGTTAACACTATTGAAAATTTGTTCTTCAAACCATTTCATAAAAACTAAGTAATTTTATGGGCATACGTTAATTATAGTCGATATATTATGTAGTTAAAAAAAATAAACTAAAATCACATTAAAGCTTGAGTTACAACAAGTGACCAACAATCAAAAAAAAAATGTTTTTAACTTATACTTATAAGTTGTATTATTTATTATTAATTCAATAGTTTAAACTTCTGACTAAAAATTGTAAGAATAAAATGTCTGCATTAAACTCTGAGTTTGAAGTAAGTAAACAAGCGCTACACAAGTGAGATCCGCAAATTCCAATTACGTGAGTAGTACCAATAGAAAAACAGTATCACACCCAAAAATATATCAATTATCAATACGATATTGATCAATTCATCTTCGGTTCACGTCTTTGCTCAATTCGAATACTTGTAAGTTGTAGTATTACTATTACTACTAATGTTAGGCCTAATTCAGTTATAAACTAACTCGTTCGATCTCCACTAGCCCTCTGAAGTCATGCAAAATAAATTTGCTTTTAGTTTTAGAGTTATGAAAGCAAACTTGGCTGGCGTAAATTACTCATTTCCAAACTGATATCGCTTAAAATACGGTTAGCCTGATAACCTTTTCGTCGAAATGGAAGAGCAAAACATCCTCTACAAAACACAACCATACGAATATACATAAATATAGCCATGTTAACAGCATATTTCCCATCATGCACGAGTAATATACCAAACAGATCATGTGGCAACCACATAGCCAAGTACAGAGGGCGTGTACAACTCGTGAAATATTATGGGGATTCCGGCCGAAAATATCGTTGACAGCGGGGGCACCCAACTAATTAAACAATGCATTCTAATTTTATTCTAAGTAGAAACGTAAGAAAAGTTTAATCAATTAGCTTACTCTGATCAGAAGTTATTAATATTTGTAATATGGTAACAACAGGATATTTAAAAATTTGGCAGATAATTGGAGGAAATACTGTCAGAATGTAGTGTAAAAATTCTACAGTAAGGGGTCAGCCTTACATTTATTTCGCTTCATATTTCCCAAATGGCAGTGTTATCAAACCTAAAACTTGTGCAGGAAATGGCAAAAAACATTAAGAAAAACTGACAAAATTTCTGAGGATAGTAGAAGATATTGTGTCAAATGAGTCCATTACCTGTTTTATTTTACACCTTTAAAATGCCAGTGGGAAGAATTCTGAAATTGTAACTGGAAATGACAGAAAATCAGTAAAAAAATCCTTATAAAATTCGATAAAATTGTGAGGTGCATGGGGTGAGCTTTCTTGATGGAACCCGTTTGGATTTAGACGTTGTCGAGTCCATTAGTAGCCACGTCAATGATCATTTGTGGGTGACTAGAGAGGCTAAAATACAGGATATTGTTACGACAGCGGAAGTCACATGACGCTGGTAACAGTAATGAGTTCTAGAAAGATTGGGGAACATCACGAATAAT